GAGGCACTCCAAAAATAATATTAATGAATACTCAACCTTCCCCTTGTTCTCTTCATGCAGGTACCCCACAGGAAATGATGCACCAGACCTTTCAGTATTCGATGGAGAAATGGAAAAGATTGTGACATGGCTTGAATCCAATAATGGGTTCAAGGCCATTGGTGTTCATGGAATGTGTGGCACGGGAAAGACCACTCTTGCCAAAATGGTTCTGAGTGATCCACGAGTCAAAGACAAGTACAAGAAGCCCATATGGGTGTGTTTGTACGACTTGCAATCAAAAGAAGAAATGGATATTAGGATTGTTAAGGAGATGTTGGCACTTTTGGATGATGATCCTGATCTATTGGCGGAGGAACCTGAAGATAAGTGGCTGGTGAAAAATCTTCATGATAAACTCTTGGATCAGAAGAAGTACTTGATTGTGTTGGATGCTGTGTGGCATTGCAACGATTGGTTTAATAATTTGTTCTGTGTTGATCAAGATGGTGGTGATACGAGCAAAGAACTCTTTTCCCAAGCCTTGCCCAAAGAAACTGGTGGTGCTGTCATTGTCACCAGCAGACAAAAGGAAGTGACTACTAAATTGGTGCGTGAAGAGAATTTGATTCATCTTAAGCCTTGGGGTGATGAAAAATTGAAGAACTTTGTGAAGAAGTGTTTGGAAAAACAAGATAAAATCACTGAGGAAAACATTAACTGTGTTGCTTATCATTGTCATGGTATTCCTTATGTTGCTGCAACCATGTCAGGTTGGATAGCTAAGCAGATCACCAAAAAGTCAGATTCTAATTGATCTATACATACAGTGCGTGTTTATGATCTTGTTGTTTAGTTTCGAGATTTACTTTTAACAGAAGCATCAATTTTCATGTCCTTTCAATAAGTTTATACCATCCTTATGATATGGTTAAAATGAATGTAAAAGATATAAGAACTTAGGGAAGTTCATTCTCATCTTACAACTGTAAACTTCTGTATAAGTAAATTTCCTAAAAAAAGTATTAGATGCAATATCAATCTAACATATATATATACATATACACATGTATATATATATATATATATATATATATATATATATATAACTCGAGATTTATATATCATGTTTATTAATGGGAATTTTTCTGGCTTATATTGAGTCTTTTATTTGTGGTTCTGTTATATTTTCTAAGTGACCAAATAAATGTATTGAATTGGACAAAAAACTCAAATCTGAATGAGGAAAAATAACAACCAATTTTATACTTCATCCGAATCCAAACATTTAATTGTCTCAAAATAACTATTTCTTCTTCATTTATTTTCGTTTGCCTAAAGTCAACTTTATTCCTATGATTCCATTTGTTCCTCATAATTAAAATCTATACACTCTTCCATAACTTCTATTTGTGGTCAATAAATAGAATTGTTGAAAATAAGCTTTTAGTAGATTAAGATGCACCTTTCTCACTTCCACCCACTTGTAACAAATGTTCCAAATATTTTTTTCTATACTACAAGTGAGAAATAAGTGTTATTAGTCTCTTCTTCCAACCAACACAATACAATGGAGACATTAATTAATTATACTCCTTGATGGACGAACGCCCGAGGAGAGATCGAAGACGCGACGCGGACTCCTCGAAGCTTCCTCCA